ATATAGTCTATCGTCGTCGATGATCATTTTACTCTACTGCTGTCGTCGTCGTCATCATCGTGATTTAATGCCAAGAAGATTGAGAGGGATGTCTTGGTTGTTCTGTTGTATCACATGGACACGTGGGGGCATGCTTGGGGAGCAAAATTTGCTGCTCAATGATGACGTCATGCGTCATGTCCATCGCACCAACACTGTACATTGCGGCTGTGCGTGTGAAAGATTCGCGTCGTTTAAAAAAAAAAGTTGTTAGTGACACGTAGGAACGCGTTCATGGCGAAAGTCTGCGGATGAGGCCCCCCTCTTATCTACTAAAACCCGTTCTACTTCAGTACCAAACGATTGCACACGAACACACGCTAGCCTACCGCTTCGTCCACCCCAACTCCCATTGCCCTGTCACGCTCCACCATCGTTGCGTGCGCCAGTATCGATGACTGCTGTGCACGTACGTTAATCCCAAAGTCTTGCGTTTAGCAAACACTGCTTCTGGTACACGCAACGCGTGGCATGACAACGATACTGCTTGACTTACGCGTGGCATGACAACGATACTGCTTGACTTGTCCCTAGACAACGACAAAGGACGACGACTGAGAGGAAATAGATGCATCTACATATTCGTATGAATGGGCGAACATATGGCGTTCCCACGTATATCAATAAATACGTGCAGGTCAACTACCGTGCAAGTAGGGCAATCTGCGTCGCAGACACCGGGAGCGGCTTCTAAACGTCAACACAAAACTGAAACGACAGAAAAAGGTTAAACGTTTAGCCTCGTGTAGGACCAAGCGAGAGTCGCAACTCAAATCCGGGATTGGGTGGGACAAATCGTCCCGAGTTCGGGCCTACTTGGTGTTTGCCCCCCCCCACGACGTTCGATCCGCCCCCCCCGGCGAAGGGGGGGGGGNTGAACAAGCAGCAGTAGCGGCAGACACGAGGCAAGCCAGAGGCTCCTACCGGCTAACACAAACCCCTTAAAATCACTAATAAAAAAATAGCTCCCTGCTCTCAACCAATGAATTGGTCACATCGTCACATCCCGTGCAGCACTCGGCACACTCGTGGAACAGCCTATTCCAACACCTTTTCGACGTTCCAGAAAACAAAAAAACAAGGAAATTTACGTGCCAATATTCTAACTACTCGAGCCGTGAGCCGAGAGTGCGAACAACCCTCCCACCCCAAACCCCTCCGCTCGTCCTCCGACAAAGACGTACCAAGCTCGACACTACCTCACCCTCACCCCTGCTACCGCATCACGAAGTCCATCTTATACCCAACAGACCTCTCGCAACGCACGGAGGGAGAAACCGGGTCCACTAGGCAGTGCACAGCAACAACAGTCCGTAACGTGATATGTATCAATTGTAGTTTCTATGGTCTTTAGTGACATGATCGTACTTTTTCTTTCCCCCGCGGGACCGTGAGGGGAGGTCGACCCGCGCACAGAGTAGCTAGACAACTTTGCGACGCTTGTTTTCATGTTCGCAAACTTGCGAGAGCATCATCTCATCCGCAGTCTTTCACGAGGACCTAGAGAGCTCAGACGACTGTAGCTCCGGTCGATAAAGATATACATCACAACTCTTCGGTTCGGTGGAATCGTGAGGTACTGTTATCGCAACGTTTTTCTAGCTTAGATCGTGATTTCGTCTTGCCGAAGGACCGTGATAACCACGGAGCCGCTCTGCTTCTTGAACATCTCCATGCCATCTTTGTACGAGCCGAGGGTGACACCGTCTAGCTTCTGCAGGGTGTCTCCGACTTCGATACCGCCCGCCTGTGAGTGGGGAAGAGGGGGCAGAAGGGAGAAAGAAGAAGGGGGAAGGGAGAAAGGAGAAGGGAGAAGGAACACCGGATACGGACAACGTCAACATCCATCCATCTTCATCACCACTACACCACTACCACAACCGCCACCGTGTCACCGCTAGCATCATCACAACCGACACTACAAACTGCTCCTGTCATGCGAGCAAGTTGCCAAGAGGGGGGGGGGGGGCACACC